AGTTGGAGTTGTCAAATTATGTGTTACAAGTTAAACTTCATTATCATTCAATCCAAAATGATAATTGACTAGTTTGTTAACATATATAACTAAAACGCTTTAGACAAATATGATGAGGCCTGAATTTACATAACAACTTCAAACACACTTATTTTTGAAGAAGCGATCTGATTTATTAATTTCTAGTCTTCATCTCTTGGTCTTTCTTTGAAGAATTTAAATTTTTATTTAAAATGAGCACATTTATAGCCTGTTTGATAATGCTTCTCCAATCCGAGAAGTATTTTTTTTTTCTTAAAAAAAATTATTTTTTTCAAAGTTGAAGTGTTTGGCAAAGCTTTTGGAAGAAAAAAAAAGTGCTTTTGAGGAGAAACGAAAAAAAGTAGTATCTCTCCAAAAAAATTTGAGAAAAATACACTTAGAAGCAGTTTTTAAAAGTTTAGCCAAATACTAATTGCTGCTCATAAGTGCTTTTGAAATTAATTAGTCAAACCCAAATTACTTCTCTCCAAAAGTACTTTTGAGAAAAAATACTACTCAAAATAAACTGATTTTTAGCTATTAACCTTTATAGCATTTGCTTTTGAAGTAGTGTGAAGCTCGGAAGGATGACAAATATTTAATGAGCAGTTTCTTAATATCTTCATGTTGTAACTGGCTTACTAGTGGATTCCAAGTTTGGCATTAACTTATGTATATTTCGGTATCTTTCATAGAAATCTAACGCACATAAAATAAAATGTTGGCAAATGCTTACTGAGTAGACTTGCAATAAGTTAGTCAGGACAATTTGTTAATCAAAAAGTTATGGTTTGAACTGTAGTGTCATAAGTTTGAATTTTAATGAACTTGTTTCGTTTCTTAAAGATTTGTTGTAAGTCATAGTTCTTAAGTGATTTTCTTGATATACTATTAAAACCTCTAAGGCTGTGACCTTTAAACATTTCCTTAATCGTAATTACGGTTAACATTCTTTTTTGATAAAATAATTTTTCGTAATTCTTCCTAACGAAATACTATGATATTCCTTCGAGGAAAATATGTTGACATCCAGTGAGGCCCAATATAACAGTTGACATGGGCCTTCATTGGTGGCTGGGCCTGCCAGTTATCCCCTATTTCGTAAAAATAGCACGGTATAGCCAGTTTTCGGACTGGTTATTCAAAAATAACCAGCGTTTACGAAGTCAATAAAAAATAGCCACTATTTTGCTGCAACAGAGACCGGTGCATATTATGAACTCCAGCATATTATGTTGGACCGGTATACTTTGCTGACTCCAGTATATTATACTGGACAATTATACTTGCTGGAACTCTTGTATATTATGTTGGAGTTCTAGTGTACTTATGCTGGAACTCCATCATATTATGCTGGAGTTCCGGCATACTTATCCTGGAACTCCAGTATAATATACTGGCGCATTTTTCGGGTTTTAAACAGTGTTTTCGCTCAGATTTATCTTTACATGAAAAGTGAATAAATTTCGATTACTTTTAAAACTGGGCTATTTTTGAACGACCAGTTGTAAATCTAGTTATTTTTGAATTTATCCCCCTATTTTCTTGTAAAAATTGCACGGGGCGCCCTATTTGGTCGCCCCCATTTAACCTATACTCATTTTTTAAAAGTTTTAACTTGTACCGACTTTTTAAACAATTTCAACTCTCTTTCTCCTCCTTCTCCTTCTTCTTCTTCTTCTTCTTCTTCTTCTTCTTCTTCTTCTTCTTCTTCTTCTTCTTCTTCTATATTGATACGTATACCCCTTCTGAGAGAAGCCAAGAATATGTAAAAATGGAGCAACAGAGACAATGATCTTTACCAGTATGATCAGATCCCATTGTTTGTTGAAGTTCAGCTCAACAAACTAAGCCAAGAACTGCCACCACCACCAACATCTATTTCCATTGTACTCTTCTGATATTTATTATTGCAACTTCCTTTACAATCCAATTCGAACCCCAAATACTTGTTTCTTTCAATAGATTTGGAGAAAACAGATTCACTGAGAGGAGTAGTGATTATGATGGCTTTAACACCACGTGAAGCTACGAGTTTGGCCATGTCTAACATAGGAATCATGTGGCCATGAGTCATAAAAGGAAAGAAGAAAAAATAGAGTTGACCCATGTGTGATCAAAGTTGCAGTAGAAATAGAAAGCAAAAAGAGAGCATTTGGGGCTAGAGCTGAAGTTCGTCAGTTACAAAACAAAAACTTCAGCTCTAGAGCTGAAGTTCGCCAGTTACAAAAACAAAAACTTCGCCACTTACAAAACAAAAACTTCAGCTCTAGAGCTGAAGTTCGCCAGTTACAAAAATAAAAACTTGCTACTTCAGTCCCGTCTACTAGAATGCTGAAGTTTTGCGTGATTGTCTTTGCTACTTCAGCCTCATATGCTGAAGTTACGCAAAAAAGTGGGTGCGCTTGCAATTTTTTTTGCAAAGCGGGCACAAGTTAAAACGTGACCCAAAAAGCGGATATAGAAAGGAATTTTTACATTCCTATGCCATATAGGAAACTATTTTACCCTCAATGTTTAAGGTTTGATATAATTACATTTAGTATACCTAATTACCAATTATATATCATTAGTAGTTTTTAAGGGTATTAATTACACTCCTAATTTAATGGTACCGTATATTCCTTCTAATACCGCTTCCCCCACGTTTCTCTCTCCAATTCTCACACCTTCACCCACGTTTCCCTCCCACACCCATGATTTCTGTATCAAAATCCCATTATTTCTTCCATAGTCAAGGCATTGTCGGCACCTCTGCAATCTTGTCCTAATGTTTTTGTGCCCGAGGAAGATGAGCACAAGCCTGGTCGATTTGATGGTTATGATTTCGGGTTCCTTCAGTAATATAAGAGTAAAGAAAAAGAGAGCAACAATTCCACCATTGACAGTTATTAAAAAGCTTTGAAGTTTTGAATTCAAATTTGGGTTTTCAAAAATCATTATTTGTTTGGATTGGGTGTTGTTGTAAATAATTGGGAATATGGTTTGGAGTTTATATCTCAATTTTGAGGGGTTTTGGTGAAGATTAAACTTGATTTTGACTGAATTTCAGATTAAAACTCGAAGAAGAAGAAGAAGAAGAAGAAGAAAAAGAATACATGACATACATTATATTACAACAATTATAGATAAATTGTAGACTGTTGTTTATTTATTTTTGAGCTTTTGTGTTTTTGTGTTAAAAATTTTGATGGGAGCTTGTTATTCCACTTTGTCTGTTTTGGAGCTAACTTGTGCAGAGGAGAAGATGTTTTTTAACTTATATATATTGATATACCTTTAAATTCAAGAAAGTATGGTTGTATTGTATTTAAGGAGGCGTGAATTTGTAGAATAGGTTAAATGTGAGGAATGAATCAAATAAGACTCACAATGGCTTGTTTTCTGCATTTATTTTACATTAAAACTGCATATCATTTGAAAAATTAATATGAAAATACAGAATTTCAATTATCTACAAATTTTCTACAAACTGTTCATAACAGAATTTATCTTTATTTTCATGCATGTTCGTCTCGAACACTAAAGTTACTTGATATGCCAACATCTCCCGATATAGAGGAATACAACTTATCTACAATTTTCTACAACTTGCACACATTATTTACACCCAGTGAAATACAACTATAATAACATAAAACTTACATACAAAATTTATACAGTATGTCTTTTGTATATTTTGTATCTGATTTATACATAGTAAAAATAATTTTCATACAACTAATTATATATTATACAACTTATCTATAAATTATCTACAATTTTCGTATGTTATTTCTACTAAGTTATATACAACTACAATATAATATCACTTAAATATAATTTTTATACAATGTTGTTCAACTTTCATACAATAGTTAAATGAATAAAAGAAAAATAAATAAACAATAGAATACAATTTTTCTACAATTCAGCTAAAATCAAGTCTAATCTTCACCAAAACCCCTCAAAATTGAGATATAAACTCCAAACCATATTCCCAATTATTTGCAACAACACCCAATCCAAACAAATAATGATTTTTGAAAACCCAAATTTGAATTCAAAGCTTTTTAATGGTTGTCAATGGTGGATTTGCTGCTCTCTTTTCCTTTGCTTTGTATTACTGAAATTTGGACATAATAGCATTTGATATAGAAGAATTGTAAAAGATTTAGTCGTTTTTGATTTGTGAAATCAGAAAAGTTTGAAATACAGTGTATCGAAAAAGCAGAGACGCTAAATTTGAAATGAAGCTGACGAAGAAGATTAATGTGCGTGATTTGCATTGTGGAAGATCTGGAAGAATATTTAATCCCCCCAATTTTAGCGCGCCTAAATAAGGAATCCTACAGCTATAATGATTCCTTATTTAATGCATTATCTATATTTTGTAGAAATACTATTAGCATGAAGGGTAATATACAAACTATGAACATATTTGGTAATATAGTTTCGTATATGGTATATGAATGAAAATTTCCCTAGATGCAAATGCCCCTATTTTCTTGATGAAGAGCTGAGGAGGGAAAAAAAGCAAAGATCACTTTTAGCCCGCGACCAAAATTAGTTACATTCGATAGTCGCAAGAGTGTATAAATTTTTTATATTTTTCAATTATTATTTTAAGAGCGGCTATACAATGTCATTTTCCCAAAATCAAACTTTCACTAAATAAAGTTGTGGAGCAGTTTTACACGATATACCCATGGATCCTACATAATTATAAAAAAAATTCTTAAATTAAATCAAGATAGATTCAGTTTTTATCTGTTTCCTATCTTGATAAAATAGATAAAAGATTCATCTGTGAGGAACTTTTATTGAGCTTAAAATCAGTTTTTGAAACAGGAGTAGTACTTACACTACAATATATACTAGTATTATTTAACCAAATTATAGCTAGGTAAACCTACCTCCTCGGTTTCCTTTTTCTTATATATCTATATATATTACCATAATGTGTAGGATTTAACTTTTATATATATTCATTGACAACGTAATGAAATTCTCACACTATTTTCAGTAGGGCAACGCTGTACTCGACAGGCAAAATCAATTCTCGGACACCATAACATGGCAACTATACCCGACGATATCACTATAAGTATCCTCTCAAATTAAACTTGCCAGCGAAATCCCTCTTGCCATTCAAGTGTGTTTCTAGGCCATGGCTTCCTTGGATTTCAGATCCCAAATTCAGGTCTACATCTTGGAAATTACTCTTTATTGAGTTAACATTGTTATTGGTAAAAATTGCACCTATTTTTTAAAAAAGTTTTAACTTGTACCCACTTTTTAAACAACTTCTTCCTCTTTCTTTTTTCTGCTGCTGTTGGTGCTGCTATGAAACTTCACCCATTGGTAAAAATTGCACCCTTTCTCCTCTTCCTAATTCTCCTCCTCCTCCTCCTCCTCCTCCTTCTTCTTCTTCTTCTTCTTCCTTCTTTCTTCTGCTGCTGTTGGTGCTGCTATGAAACTTCATTTCATGGAATGATTGTCATAAGTATGTTTATCAGATTATTTAAAAACAAATTATAAATAATTACGTAAGTTAGCAGACAATAACTTACGAAAATTACGTCCTACTGTGCTGCTACTTTTCTTAATTTTTTTTTGAAAAATAAACCAACATTGAGTCAAATATTCTCTTATAGTGACGGAACAACATTCATTTTTGGTAAAGATATACGTTCAGATCCCAAGGTTACTCGTAGACATGTATGGATCGTTCTTCCTGTATAATGAACCCAATTCCCTTTTCCTATCAATGAATTTACATATATGCCGTCTGTGTCTTCTCACTGCAGATTAGATATTGTGCTCAGTTTGATGCTTTACTAGAAATTAAAAAACTTCAGCTTATATAGTGCTGAAGTTTTTACAAATGAACTAAATAACTTCAGCATCTTCTGCTGAAGTTTTTGAAAAAGCTTATCCAGGACAAAAAAAATTTCAACTTATTTAGTGCTGAAGTTTTTATAAATGAACTAAATAACTTCCGCATCTCCTACTGAAGTTTTTGAAAAAGCTTAATGACAAAACTAATGGAAGAAAATCCTTTTATTACACTACTTTTAATCCAAACCAACATTGTTACGTCGAGCAAATTATGAATTGTGGTATTTGATATGACCCTTGTAGATTCAGCTTTTCAATATTATATTCTCAAAGCACGCTTAAGAATATATTAAGATTAACGTCGCTCTTTCTAGATTATCCACCAAATATTTATTTACATGTGTAATAAAGAAGTAATTGAACCATATACCTAACCGGAGTATTCAACAATATAATATCTGGAGTATGCAAAAGTATTTAAACAACCAGTAATATAAAATTACCAAAAAACGTAATGGAGTAGTTTTATAGGGGTCTTGGTTTCTCTCCCTATTTTCAACTATTACAGTTAATGTCGATTAACCCTACGATATATATAGACGAACACGAAGAAGAAGAAAACAACAAAAATGCAATTAAAAAGAGAAAAACAAATCTGATTCGGGATCCAAAGAAGGGCATGGTAATTATTCAATCACAACATAATCTGAACTTAATATTAAGATAGCATAGTAATAAGCAGTATAATACAGTGTTAGCACATAATATGCACTTTAAATTATTGTAAGGAGTAAAATTTAATTAATCGTAAAACTTCAACTAATCATTTTACTTCAACCTCTCTCCCGTATTGTATAAACCAGCCATGCTATAACTTTTCCAGCCAAAAGGTAGGAGATATTTATTTTTATATATATTCCATGTATCGGTTGAGATATATATGATGAAGTCGTACACATCACTAGTTGACAGCATAATTAATACCAGTGTCATCATATTATAAAAATGATTTCATAAAGAAACTTTAAAGAAAAGCATTGAACCCTTAAATAACTAGCAATTAAAATACTCCACGTACACCTTAACAAATCCTTAATTCCATGGATCAAGAATAGAACTTGAAAAGAAAAAGGAAAGTGTAGCTTCTTGAAGTTTCATGCACCACCATATTAATAAACTCAGAGAACAATAGAAACAAATGCAGAAGGCAGAATTTAGCACTGGCTTGTGAACTATATATATATATATATATATATATGAACAAATAAACGGTAAAACTAGATTGATCGGATAATATATCAGTATAAATTTAACAGATGAGACAAGGGACATGAATAGTTATTAATAAATCTACATGTCCATAACTACAAAAGAAGAAGGAAGAAAAAGAATAGAACTACAGTACGTATCAAATAAAGAAAAATGAAGAGAATTACAAATTAAAAGAGAAAAGAAAATTTAAGGCTGCTTATGCCTCTGGGTATAGATATAATCAAGGTGAGCCTCTAGCGTTCTTCTCATCAAACATTCTTCTTCTCCAAGACCTTCACATCTATCGTCAACTTCTACTTTCGCTGTTGCCTTATCCTATAATCGCAAGTAATTAGGGCATCAGTTAAATATATAAAAAGGGCAGTTCGGTACACTAAACTCCCGTTATGCACGGGTTCGGGGAAGGGCCAGACCATAATGATCTATTATCCGCAGTTTTGCCCTGCATTTCTGCAAGAGGTTGTTTTCACGGCTCGAAATTGTGACCTCTTGGTCATCTTAGTAAAAGCTCCCCTCCGAATCAGTTAAATATATGAATATCTAAATTTGATGGTGAAATCAGGAATTTTAACAACCCCATTCAAAAAATTATTGTAAGAATGCCGTACATAGTTGAACCTATAATACAGTTTTGAATTACCTAGATCTATCATTGTACTAGAAGCTTCCCTTATGTTGAGGAAGGGATTCAACAATTTATTTATAAACAAAAAAACTTCATTATTATTATCCTATTTGTGCAGCATAATTTTACGAATGCCACACAGAATTTGAACCTACAGTTTCGAATTACCTCTACCATATTATACTAGAAGCTTCCTTATGTTGACGAGGGATTCAACCATTTATTTATAAAAAAATTATTATTCATTCAATTAAACTTCTTTTTTTTAGAAGCTAATTAACAAAATTTTGAAATTAAACATAGGGATTGTAAACAATAATAATAAACATACCTTACTATGCTCCATCGGAGTAACGTCGTGATAAGGCGTACTCATCGGCCGGGAAGAAGCGCAAGTTAGCGTGAGAAGGAGGAGGAATGATATCATGCAAAAGGTGCTAAGTTTAGCCATATTTATTTCTTCGTCTGCTTTCTCTATAGCCTTCTGTGTATATGTTGGTGCAAAAGTGATGGATTTATAGAGTGGAGAACCAAGAAAGCAGGGAAAAGTTGCTGTATATAAAGAGCTATATATAGTAATTTCTAAAAATATAATTCTATAATTATCTCTTTTTTTCTTATTTTAAAAAAGGAGAAAATTACGGAGGGATGACGAAAAGCTAAGAAAAAGGGTGGCCAAGTAATGGACGTGTTGTATTGTACTGTTATAAAAAAGGGATAAGGTCAACGAAAAATGAAGCACGGAGTTGACCTCTTCCTCAACCCGACATGATTTGGTCTACGTCGTCAAATTAAGGTTCTCCTCTATTGAGATAAGAAATACTTAATGTTTTTTATAAGAATGAAAGGGTACATTTATACGATATTTTCGGCTTTAAATATTAGTCTTTTTAACAAATTAAATTTATTTTAAATATTTGATATTTCTAAAAATCAAAAAGTAATTTATGGTTTCTTTTCAAATCTATTCTTACTTCTTTTGATTCATGTAGTGTTAATTAAGTAATATGTTTAAGAAATATAAAGGTCATTTAAGATTAAGCCTATAATACACAGTAACTTTTTATACGTGCAAAAACCTTTAAAATAAATTATATAGACCACAGAAGTGGAGTACTAATTCTGCATTTATCGTCACAAATTAAATGAGCAGGGGTATTAGGTATCCAAAATCTTAGTTGCCTTAGATCGGCGATCATATTTACTAGTAATACTAATTTGATAAAATCTCACTTCACTCATACATGCACTTCAAATATATCCTCGACCTTGATTACTATATATGGTATTTCATAAAATTAATGAGAATCTTGTATGTTGAATTAACATATACGTACACATAATCCTTTTAAGCTATATATAAATATAATTAGGATGTTAAAAAAAACTTTTCATTAGGTTATCATGAACAATGAAGAAGTCATAATTATGGGAACACACTAGACAGGAAATGGTGAATTTAAGACACAATGATGGAGCAGAAGGGAATGGCCAACATGGACTGTGAAAGGGAACCAACGAGCAGGGGCAAATTTACTTGAATTCATCAACTTTTGTTTAAATTTTATACATATGTTATACATTAAAAAATCTATAAATACTTAATTATAAATTTAGTTAACATTATTGTATTTTCTTAGTGTCGCTATAATATTTCATAAATTTTAAAGTATGAATTTGCCTCCACCCCTGCCAACGAGACACATTCAACATGCATATAGTTATAAATATGAGTTGATTACTATATATGGAAGGACTGCGGAAGTGATCACGCTACGCTCCACGATGCATCATCACTACGTTATGATTTAAATCTACCATGCGCCTATCCACCAGCTGCCCAAGGACCACACACAAAAAGATTTCGTTAGCTTACGTCCCCTCCCGTTCGAATGAAATAATAGTATCTTTTTATAGCGGTGGCCGGTGGGATCGAAACATGTGCGATGCCTTAGATAAAATAATGCATGTATTAGTTTTGTGTATTAATAATATCTTATTTGGTATACTTTTTGAACCTATATATTAGTTATATATCCTATTTGGTATTATCTTTATTTGACCAAAAAGTGTTAAATTTTTTGTTAAACTAATTAATAAGGAAATAGAGGGTGAATCCTAGTTAAATATAATAAATTCTAGATCTAAAATTAGAAAATATTAATGTGATGAGATCGTGTTCAAGAATAATAAATATCGAGTATATGATCAATGATTGTCAGTAAATATAGTAATAGAAGCATGCAATAAATGTAGATAATGACAATAAATATAATAAGAAGGAATTTATTACCCAAATGTTAGGTGACTTGGACAATTTTCCTCCCTGACAACAGCATGGGGTGATAGGAAATGAAAATGGATAAGGAATCTTTTGATCTTGTGAATGAACAACGTAAATCCAACTATATAATCAGTGAACAAACTTTTGTATATTCTCCTCAGTCAGCCCTTTACAATGTGCTCTTATCAAAAGGTGAAGATTCTCTTTTTGTTCTTTATCTCTTCCTATTTACAGGGGATACTTCTGAGAAACCCTAAAAAGGTACCACAGAAAGAATATTCAATGGAATATTCATTCTTTCTATTCTAACTTATCCTACCGTTATTTTCATACTCCCTTTGCTCGACCTCGGCACTAACCTTTCTTAAGGCGACTCTTCGCCCTCATGTCGTGGTCGACTTAACCCTCGACCACGTCCATTTGCAGCTATTAAGTCCAATCCAAATTTTGACCAATACAATCTTATGCATAACTAATGCATAGGAAACCATGGTATTAACAATGCAATGGTTATTAATGCATGCATTAGTTTAGTTAAAGACAAAATTGCCCTTCAAAATTTATGTTTGATTAAAATATAATATTATATTAATGCAAGTTTAATGTAAAATTTGATACTGAAATTGCTCCCGCTATTTATATAATTAGCATAAATACCAAGGATTTTTTCATACCTAGGGCTCGAACTCGAGACCTTTGGTTAAGGAAAGAGCAGTCACATCCATTGTACCACATCCTTTGGTGGTAGGGCAATTCTATCTTTATACATGCTTATCTATGTATTAAAATTATGGTATTGTTAATGCCATGGTTTGTTATGTATAAGAATGATGTTGAACATTAATTTTGGTATTATTACATATTACCAAGTAAAGGTTTAATAATACCAAAGTTAATACACATATTATTTTTTCTAATACATCCTAACAAACGAACATGTGTATTAGGTATTCTTGCAGAACTTAAATTTAGACAACTGAAAACGAACATTTCTCTCTACGGGTGTGTTTGGTACGACAGAAAATATTTTTCGGAAAATATTTTCCCATTTTCTACTGTTTGGTTGCACAAAATAGTTTGGAAAATGTTTTCTTAGATATCACATTTTCCTGAAATTGGAGGAAAATGACTTCCCTAGAAAAAGATAGGAAAATATTTTCCAAAAACTCCACTTACCCTCACATCTAACCCTACCCCNTCCCTTCCGAAAAAATATTTTTTTATATATTTTCAGTTTTAGTTTTTTCATCATTCGGTTTACAGGTTTGAAATTTTACAAGTTCCAAAGTTATGAGTTCAGAGGTTTATGTATCTGAAAGTTTACGGGTTTAGAAATTATAAAATTTACGGGTTCAAAAGTTCGCGATTTCGAACGTTTAGCGGTTCGAAAGTTTATAAAATTTGTGAGTTCAGGAGGTTGTTGGTTCGAAAGTTTATGACTTCATGTTTATTGTATCTAAATTATTTATGAATACTCTTAAGAAGTTATTTTCCTTAGTTTGCGTACCAAACACCAGAAAATAAGTAAGATTACTACTTGTTTTCCAAGAAAATATTTTTCGTAACAATACTTCCTCTGTTTAGATAGAAAGAATTACAAGAAAATAAACATGACTTCACACCATAACAAAAAATGGTCCATGTTTTTAAGTTTACCCGACCTAGCCCATATTGTACATATTTTGAAAACATTAGCTCTTGCAAATTCAAAATCTGTGTTCTTACAAACATTGCTTCTAAAAGCTATGGAGTTAAATTTGTATTCTCACAACCATTGCTTTCACTCTCTCTTCTTCTCACATCTTTTACATATGCTTCAAGGGTTGTCCGCCATTACTGCTTCTCCCCCTATGTCACCTGGTTGCAATGTAAAAAAATTGAAGAGTAGAAATCCACCATTGAAGGTCATTCAAAGCTTTAGTTTCGAAAATAGGACTTTTTGAGTTTGTTCGTTGTTTGGATTGGGTGTTGTTCCAATTGATTGAAAATATCAAAAGGAGTTCAAAATTTAAATTTGAAGTTGATTTGAGCAAGATTTGAGTTAAATTTCAGAAAAAACGCAAGGAAGAAGACGAAGTCAGTGTTTTTGTATAATTATGTATAATAGAGTATATGAGTGTATAAACATATCTTATACACTATTATACACCTTTATACAAGTGCCTGTAGATGAACTTCTTCCGCGATTTTTAGTTGCAATTCTTGTTCAAAACCAGTCCAAATCTCCATTAAATGACTTCAAATTTTATACACAACCTCCTTATACTATTTCTAACAAGTCTAAATAACATCCACTCAAAATTTCTCATAAAATCAAATTCGAAATTTAAACCCATATATTTAAGCTTGTTAAAAATCTAATTTTCACCATCCAAATGGATTTGGTTTGTTGAACTAATATTTGAGTCACAGTTACTGATTCGAAAATGAACTTAAAAGCTTGAGTAATCTTTTTTAAAACTTAAATAGTAATTTTGAGAACCTATTGGAGTTGTATGTTGAATCTTAGCTATTATTTTTGAGCTAATTGGTTGTAAATTGAAATATGAGCTATAAATTGAAAAGTAGGGAACTCAGTTGTTCTTACGTGAAATTTCCCCTTGATTTTATGTATCTTAATTTGATTGAGCACTAAGTTTAAGAGAATAAAATTTTGAATCTTATGATTATAAACAAAAGATGTGTGTAATGTACCAAAATACACTTGAAACATGTGATTTGAAATATGTCATGTGGAATTAAGAAATTAATAAATATTAAAAAAAAACATATTGTTCATAACATACTAGAAAGAAAAATAAGATACATATAAATTGAAACAAAAGGCATATCATTTAATTTTAAAGTGAATAACTGTGGATGTGTGTACGTATTTTTCAAAAAGTATTTAAGCTATATGGAGTTCAAATCTAGGACATAGATCTATAAAGAAAATCGTCCCCTGATCATTATTGCCCCATGTAGGCTGGATTAGCAGTCTCCAATATCATCATAAGGCTCTAGCCTTTTTCAACATGATCAATGCAGCATCTTTTCTTTTCATTTTTGGGTTTAAATAGAAAGGTTTTTTAAAAAAAAAAAAAACCAAGAAAAGGCAAAAATATAATGATTTTGTTTTATTGTCGTTGATTTGATTT